CTAGGGGCGTGCCCCTCTAAATTTTATGGGAGAGAGAAGAGAGAGATTAGAGATGTGTAGAGAATGGGTAGAGGGCACCCCATTCTATAGTGCTGCATTGATATTAGAGTTTCTTAGAGTTTCCATATGATTTGCCTCTTTAGTGATATTGAATTTACACCATTGATCTTGGGTGACTTATGAGGTGAGAGATGTGAGTCATTCATTCCATAGATTAACCATCAAGATCATATAGAAGGTGCTAGAACCTTTATCATCCATTTCCTAAACTAATTTCCCATCAATTATTTTAAATATGAAAATATCAATAATAGTATTGTGTCTTCGATATCTATGCACAAGCCTCTTCATACCTTCCTTATTTTGATTTCAAAAGCTCCATAAAATCAAACTTACCACAACACATTGTTTTTTAAGCCTCAAGTCATATTGCTTGATTCCACCATAGGTGGGAGTGCCACCCTATGGTGGATTTTCATGGGCCCCAACAAATTGCCATGGTGGGCTCATGTGCACCAATGGGCCCCCCATACAATCAAAACATATTTCAAAATTAATTTTATAATTTTTAAAAATTTATAATTTTCATTTGAATAATTAAAACAATGTAAAATCAATATCTTTATTTTTATAAGTCCAAATTTTATAAATAAAATAATCAGAGATTCAAAAAAATTCAAATAACAATTCTAAAAATTAAATGACATTAAAACAAATATAATTAAATCCTTTTGATTGGAATTGAATCCATATGGTCTAAGAATAATCAAAACACTGGAGCACTTCACCTTCTACTGTGACCTACGATCCACTTGTTTTTTTTCAAACTGACCTAGTCGTTCCCATGACCAACAGTCTATCGCAGAAACTCATGATTGTCTCATGATTGGGCCGCCAAAGTCAGACGTACTATCAGTATGTGGATTTCAAGTTCTCCCTTAGAGACGAACCAATGTCACTTAGACCTAATGCAACTGTAGCTCTATGGGGCATAAGATGAATCTCTCGCACATGCACATGCTTCACCCTGAAAGGTGGTTTGCTTTCCTAATATTGTTATTATATGTGTATGTCGTGTGATGGTACGCTAATGAGGCTTTGGGCCTCGTCTCAGAGGGTCACCATCACACATAAGGGCCACATAGACCTTCGGCTTACTCATCCGAGTATGCTTTGATCTCATAAAGGGATGATCTATTATAACCCTTAACGATTTTATCTTTATGCTTATGTAACATGGGTTTTTTCTAATGGATTGGTCCAGCATGTCAAGTTCAGTCTGGTATCAGCAATCATCATTTGCTTAGTATAGTCCACACAGGATCACACTCCTAATGAGTTCAAGTTCCATTATATCAAATATTCAATTACAAGCACTTATAAGGCCTTTAATGGCCACACACACCCAACATCTCCCACTTGGCCTTTGAAGACCTTACATTCTCTCTTCCTCACATTCTCCCATCCCCATCTCTCTCACATGTCTAACAAAAATATTAAGTGCAAGCCTTTTTGTAAGAGGGTCTGCTATCATTACCTCCATAGGTGTATAGCTAATCTCGATCTCTCCCAATCTCACTTCATTGCACAGGTGGTAGAAGAAAGGCTTCATGTGCTTGGAGTTATTGTGGAAATATGGTTCTTTTGACACACAAATCGCAGTCGTGTTATCGGATAATATCCTCACTATCACACAATACATGAGGTCCAAGTCAAGTCGATTAAGAAATTGGTTAATCCATATGGCCTCCTTGGTCGCCAAACAACATACAACATACTCAACCTCTGTAGTAAACAATGCCACTACATCATGTTTCTTTGACTTTTAAGAAACAATCCCTCCTCAAAGCAGGAACACACATCCAAATGTGGACTTTTCATCATCTAGATCCCCTAAGTAGCTTGCATTCCAGTAACATTGAATTGCAATTTCAAATCTTCTTCCATATGTATGCACGTTCTTCTCGGTCCCTTTCAAATATATGAGGATTCTCTTAATTGCCTTCTATTGCTCAACTCCAGGGTTGGTTGGAATTAGCTAACCATGCTCATGACGAAAGACAGGTCAGGTCTTGTTCCCTCCATGACATACATAAAGGATCTCACCACACTTCTTATCTTCATCTTCAGTAGGACAAATCTTATTGCTGAGCTTCACCTTTTTGTCGACTGGGGTAAACATGGGCTTAATTTATCCATTTCAAACGTTTTCAGTATCCCTTTGCAATAAGTTGCTTGAGAAAGTTGGATAGTTTTCTCTTATTTGTTTCTTATTATTTTGATGCCCAACACATATAAGGCTTCTCCAATATCCTTTATGTCAAAGTGTTGTGCAACGAATGTTTTTGTCTCTACAACTAGAGCAATCAAGCTACTAACGATTAACATATCATTCACATATAAAGAGATAAATACCACATCACTCCCACTAACCCTTTTATAGATACAATAGTCCTCTTCATTTGAAAAAAACCTTGCAAGAGCTAGGGTCTCTTGAAATTTGATGTACTACCATCGCGATGCTTGTTTTAAGCCATAGAGGGATTTGTTAAGTTTGTACACTAGGTTTCCCTTTTCTTTTTCCTCAAATCCTTCAGGTTGTTTCATATAGATTTATTCTTCCAAAACTCCAATTAGGAATGTTGATTTCATGTCCATTTGATAGACCTCAAAATCAAAATAAGCAGCTATGACTATGAAGAGTTTTATAAATGGAAACTTCGTGACTAGAAAAAAGGTTTCATCATAGCCTATCCCTTCTTTTGGGTGAATCCCCTTGCTACAAGTCTGGCTTTGTATTTTTTATTTCACCCCTCTGAGTTTAACTTCTTTTTGAAGATCCACTTACATCATATTGCCTTACAGTTCCGTGGTTAAGGTACTAATTCCCAAATATGATTTTAGTTTATGCCAGCATATTCGTCTTTCATGGTTTCTACCCAATAGTTCTTTTTGGGACAGGTCAAGGCTTCATGGTAAGTTTTAGGCTCAACATCTGGTTCATCCCCAACCCTATCATAGTGTTCCCCCAAGTAGATAAAGTGTTCAAGGTATTGAGGTGGCATACTAATTCGGTGGCTTCTTCTTTGTCCGGGTTCAGGTTTGGGTTCGGTTCAAGTTGGCTTGAGGTTTGAGGTTCAAGTTCAAGTCTGTCTAAGGTTTCAGGTTCAGGTTCTCGAAACACGCCCTTGTCTCTTGCCCCCTCAAAGAGGTCGGCTTGTTTGTAACTCAATCTTGCTTTAAGGAATTCTTCCTCGAAGAAGTGAGCATCGCGACTTTCAATAACCGTCATGGTTTTAAGATTGTAGAATCGATACTCCTTATCATGGTCTGAGTAGCCAATGAATATAATTTTCACAGTTTTGGGTTGAAACTTAGTCCTATTTTGGTAAGGAACCAGGATATGAGCTGAACAACCCCATACTCTTAGATAGTCAAGGGAAGGAGTACGACCAGTGAATATTTCGTGATGAGTAAGTGTGGTAGCTTTTGTGGGAGGCCGATTCAAGATATAACATACCATCAATACGACTTCTCCTCAAAATTCTAGAGAGAGCATAGCATGCCCCATACTCCTTACCATTTCAATCAAGGTGTTATTTCGTCTCTCGACAACTCCATTTTATTCCGGGGTGATGGGCATAATGCAATAATGGATACTTTCACTTTCTACACATAGGTCCTTAAAGAGTTCGGATGAGTATTTATCCCTCTATCGGTTCTTAAAACTTTGATTTTTCAAATTTGTTTGGTTTTGTAGGTCAGCTTTATATTCGTTAAATTTCTCTAAGGCACTTACCCAAAAAAAAAAAACAAGTTTTTTAAGGCTTCATATTTTATGCGCATTAGGTACATATGGCCATACCGCGAGTGGTCATTGATGAAGGTGATGAAATATCTTTTGTGGCTTTTGGTAGCCACATTCATAGGACCATATATGTCAATATGAATGCTTTCTAATACGTTAGTAGCTCTTTTTGCCGTAGTGGTTTTCTTTCTTATTCATTTTCTTGTACACATGAATCATACACTTTTGATTAATCTCCCTTATAATTTTGAAGGATCCCATCCTTTTTTCAATTTTTCCATTCTTTTGTAATTTACGTGTCTTAACCGCATATGTCATAAAGTAACATCCAAATACCAAACCACTTGGGGACGAGACGTAAGCAATATTTTCTTCATTTCAATAATGTAAAGACCGTCCACAAGTCATCCAGTCGTAACATAGTTGTTCTCATTTTTCACTACCACCTTATCTCCAACGAAGGTAGTGACAAAACCCGATCTAACCATCTTGGGAACCGAAACAAAGAACTTCCTTATATCGGGAGCATAAAGTGTTTTCTTTAGGATCAAGATACTCCTACTTTTCAATTGTAGTTCATTATCCCCGATTCCTAGCACGTCTATCATTTGGTGCCCTATCATATAGATATATTGCTCACTCAACCCCACGGGAATAAAAGAGTGAAAGCCATCCTTGGTGTTTGTGACATGAGTCGTAGCTCCCAAGTCAAAACCCCAAGTTGCACCCTTGGGGGGTCGGCTAGCAATGTTTTAAATATGACACAAGCAAGTTCCTTATTGGTCCCACCAGTCTTGTTGGATCGATAATACTTCGCTATGTGGCCCACCTTTTTGCAAAGGAAACAAGTTATAGTTTCTCTCCTTCCTTTTTTCCCAAAATCTCTTTTCTTATCTTCCCCTCTCTTTCTAAAATTGTTTCTTCCCTTTCACCTTTTAGGTTTAAAGAAAAGTTGTGATTTTACCATATGGACGGCTTCCCTTTGAGTTAGTGTTGGAGTTGGCATTGGTGCATGCCTTGAGTTCCTCCTCTCTTCCTCTCCTTTGATAGCCGTGATGAGCTCCTCCAACGTCGAGGCCTTTTGTTAAGCGGAGAGGGAAGTGGCGAAGGTTTCCCATGAGTTTGGGAGAGAGTTCATGAGATGAACCACTTGCATGGGTTCCAAGCGTCTCATGCAGGTAACCTCCATCTCTCAGACTAGTACACGAAAAGAGTGCATATGGTCCATCTCTACGGACATCTTCAATTCATTATATTTCTTCATGACCATGGATTGTTTCATGAGAGAGTGATCTGCATACTCCCTATTAAGCCTATCATTGATCACCTTTGCGATGCTTATTGACTCATATTCAGAGGCATATGAGTCACTCATTGCACACAATAGAATGTGCCAACACCTCATGTTTTTGTGCTTCCATGAAACGTACTCATCTTTGGTTTCTTGAGATGAGTTGCTCCTTGGTCGATAAGGGCAATGCCCATAAAGCATTTCTTGCAATCCTTCCTCATAGATCACATACCCCATCTTTCTTTGCCATGAGGCATAGTTAGTTCCATCAAACCTTTCGGCTTTTAGGATCTTCGAGATAAAGGTGCTAGCAACCATATCTTATTCCCAAGTGTTTTCTAGACTCAAAAAAAGAGAAAAAACAACTAAAGACAACAAGTAAAATATGCTTATATATCCATGAAAGTTGCACTTATGTGATCTGGTTGGTGTGTATATTTGTTTTTTTCTTCATTTTTTTTTTTCCCTTTTTCGGCTTAGAACACTCACAAGTAGTTCATTACAGTAAATTGACTTGAAAAAAAAATAAAGAAAATAAATCTAGGATCTAAAACTTGATGCCACTAAAACAGCTCTTTTATTAATAAAAAAAAACCACAACAATATGCTCGGAATAAAAAATAAAAAAAAGATATAAGAAATAAATATTGTAATAAACAAGAAAATAAGTGCCGAAGATTACTTCAACTGAGCTTAATACACCCCACACCGAGTCACTACCTCTAATGACGTGGGATCAATGGTCAACCTTATAATAGAACAAGAACTCTTTACAAGGCTCAAATCTCGATCTATGGTTTACCTCTTGATAATCTAAACGAGAGAGATAGCTTCTCAATACTAAACCCTTAACCCATAGGCCATGAGAGATAGGAGAGAGAATATCTTCTATGTGGGGTGTATCCCTTCTTTATCATATGAGAGAAAGAGAGAGAAAGAGCTTATCTACTTGAGGCGTGCCCGTATATGATGAGAGAGAGAGAACCTCTATGCTTGGGCGTGCCCCTTTGAATTCTATGGGGAGAGATTAGAGATGTGTAGAGAATTGGTAGAGGGCACCCCATATATAGTGCGTCATTGAGAATAGGATTTTTTAGAGTTTCCATATGGTTTGCATCTTTAGTGAGATTGAATTTGTACTATTGTTCTTGGGTGACTTGTGGGGTGAGAGATGTGAGCCTTCCATTCTATATATTAGACATCAAGATATATAGAAGATGCTTTATCCTCGATTTTCTAAACCAACTTCTCATCAATTATTTTAAATATGAAAATATCAATAATAATATTGTGTCTTCTATATCCATGCACAAGCATCTTTATATCTTCCTTATTTTGATTTCAAAAACTCCATAAAATCAAACTTACTAAAACACATTATTTCTTAAGCCTCAAGCCATAGGGCTAGATCTCACAAAAAGGAAGGTGCATGAGGTAGGGTGTGCCACCCCTATGGTCGACTTCCATGGGCCCCACCAAATTGTCATGGTGGGCCCATGTGCACCAATAGGCTCCATGCAACAAAAATATATTTCAAAATTAATTTTATGATTTTAAGAAATTTATACTCTTCATTTGAATAATTAAAACAAACTAAAATCAATATATTTGTTTTTATAAATCCAAATTTCATAAATAAAATACCTAGAGATTCAGAAAAAAAACCAAAATAACAATTCTAAAAATCAAATAACATTAAAACAGATATAATTAAATATTTTTTATAGGAATTGGATCCATATGATTTAGGAACAATTAAAATATTGGAGCACTCCACCTTCTACTGTAGACCACGATCCACTCTTGCTTTTTCAATCTGACTCAGTGATTTCCATGGCCAACATTCTATTGCAGGGGCTCATGATTGGGATGTCAAAGTCAGCCAATAGGCAAGGGGACGTAATCTCAGTTTTTCGATTTCAGGTTCTCCCCTAGAGACGAACTAAGATCACCTAGACCTGATGTAACCACAGCTCTATGGTGTATAGGGGGAATCTCTCGCACATGCACATGTTTCATCTTGAAAGGTTTTCATTGACCCGATACGGCTATCATATGTGCATGCCGTGTGATGGTGTGCGGATGATCCTTGGCCCCTGTCTCTGAGGGCCACCATCATATACAAAGGTCACATAGACCCTCGGCTCACTCATCTAAGCATACTTTGACATCATCAAGGGATGATCTATTATAACCTTTATCGATTTAATTTCTATGCACATGTAACATGGGTTTTTTCCAACCAACTGGCCTAGCACGTCAATCTCAATCCTATATCAACAAACATTATTTGCTTAGTATGATCATCACATGACCACAGTCCCAATGGATTCAAATTCCATTATATCAAATGTTCAATTACAAGCATTCATAAAGCCTTTAATGGCCCACACACCCAACCGAAAAATAATTTGAAGCCGGAAAAAAGTGCATCTTGTAACAAGCTATTAGTACTATCTATTTTCAAGATTTTCAAGTGTTTATAGACTACTCGATCTATACTTATTTTTTAATTTAAAATTTCATAATCAAGGTTGAATATGGATCTTCAAGCCATCATAAAATTTTAACAAATTTTCGAAGTGTGCCTTACTTGTACAAGTGGGGGGTACGGTATACAAACTTGAGATTTCAAAATATCCATAAAAAATAAATGATAATGGAATAGTTTTAAATGGGTAAAATGTTAAATAGTTAATCTCTATATTTATAAATTTTCTTTAAAAATACAAAGAAAAAGTATCTTGTAAGTCAAGGGATGCTGGTCTACATATACATCCCTGATGGATCAAAAATCCATCTTAGAGATTGTGGACAACCCCCTTAAAACCGGCTGAAACAATCCCCATAAACTTATAATTCTGCGCCTTAAGGACCATAATAGCTTAGCAGACAACAATACACCTATACCATAGTCCACTACCCTAGAAACCACTAGATCAATCCAAATGACAAGTCAAATGCATCAGAAAATGCAAAATGCACTGTTAGATGTAGTGCGGCTGATTGGGCCTAGCAGGGTCTGAACTGGGCCCACAACTCGATATGGGTCATGAGATAAGTTCCACGACCCTCTAAATTGAATCTGATGTGAAAATTCAGCCAGCACAGCCAGTACATCTATAAAAGGCAAGCTCTACTCAGATCTGAACTTGTTTTAAGTTTGCAGTTGGACCGGCCCCACATCTCTTCTGATTTTGAAGGTTTTTAAGTTTTTAACAATTTGTGCGCAAGTTTGAGTGGATCACATCTGGGCTCTCACCAGATTTTGGTCGCATAAACAGAGATGAATATTTGATAATAGTGGTCCCTCCATAAATTAAAATGGAGGTTGGATTGTAAGCTCCTAAAAAGCTATTCCATATGATTATTTTCTATTTCAGTACATTGTTATTCCAAATTATCATATTTGAAAAAAAAAAAAAGACTTTCTAAACAACCCACCCCCAACAATATATTTTTAACAATTTTATCTCAAATTGAATCTCCCATTTTGTGCCAGACCACCCCTATTTTATATTGGACCACATACTTTCCAGAAGCCCATCAGACCGCCTCTATTTTGTACCGGACCGCATGCTTTCCAGAAGCAAAGTGCCGGACCGCCCCATTTTTTGTCGAACCGCATGCTTTCTCTTTTTCTTTTTTTTTTCTATTGAGGGGTATTTGTTAAAGAAAGTTAAATTTCGAATAAAAAGTAAAAAAAATTGGTCATTAGTAAGTTGCATAGGAAATCTATTCTTAGGATTTATTTGTAATTTTCCCTATCATATTTGATATAAAATTAGGTGGCTGCATTTATTTGACTGACCAAGCTCAAAGTTCAAAAAAAATTGTTTCGAACTTTGTAACACAGCCAAGCTATCAAGTTTCACATTGCATGGTTGTAAGTAATTGTGACATCCCCATGCTAAAGATAAATGATCTTGGTGTACTATCCCATGTTATTTTTTATTTATGATCAGACACATTTGAGCATGTAATATATTTTATAGCCCTTGTTTTTTTTTTGAAAAGATATCCTATTATTCTCCATTTTTAACTTCTGTCTCATCAGATTATGAATTAAAAATATTATTTATAAGCAAAAAGATTTCTTCTTCTCTCTTTCAACCCCCTAAACTTTTTAACCATGTATTATTGATCTCAATAACTTATAAAATGACTATTATCTATCTCTAAAACTCCATCTCTTTCACATCATTATCTCTCTTTCAAACCTCTAGTTCTTTTTAAAACCCAAACTCCATTTCTCTCTTACATCATCTTTCTTTTTCTAAACTTCATCTCTCTCCCTAAAACTCAAATTCTATTATACTCCCTTTCTAAAACTCCATCTCTCTCCATAACCCAAACTCCATCTTTCTCTAAAGACAAAAAAAAATAAAAATAAAAATATTGTTTGAATATGATGTCCTTTTAATATTTGTTTAAGTAAAAGGGGATTGGTAGATAGAAAAGATAAAACCATATTGCTGATGGGAAATATTTTCAATTTTCGGGTCACATCAGTTATGAAAGTTAAAAATAAAGGATAAATCGATATTTTCCCTTTCTTTCTTGGGTTGGTCGCTGCATTGGGAAAGAAGTTAAAACCCCATGAACGTGAGGTCCTAAAATTTATAGTTTTACCGGGGAGGAAGTTATACCTTTCGTGTTATATACTCTGGTGAAGCACATAACCTTCTTGGTTTAAATTTTAGAAAGAGCAACAGGGTTCATTAAAATGTGATATTATTTAATAGATTTTTGCCAACACAATATGACATGAAGAACAAAAGATATCAGTAAGTATAAACTCTTAAACAATTCAATAGAGATGGTATTTATAAAGAATTACAGTCCTTTTTAGGACCATACAATATCAATAATGGCAATGATGTCAATGACAAACCAGAAAACCACATAATAAAAAAAAAGTAAACCACAAAATGTCAATAAAATTGGGTGAGGCTTCATCTATGTGCAGTCACCAACGTCTCAATGAATCTCAAGCCGTCAAATCTCGGAGCAAACTTATCAGACGGCTGCGATTTGCTCGGATCACCATATGTCATGCTCTTGCATAATGCCTCCTGAAGACAGAGCAAGTACCATTGGGATTTCAGTCACAGAGAAATAATAAAATTTTAAATTAGTGAAAGAAGCCAACAATATAAGATATCACTCACAAAGAATATGAGAATTAATATTATTGGTTTAAAACTTAAGTTGCCTCATTTTCAGGTTTATTTGATTTTGCAGAGATACAGAGCTAGTGTTAGTTCTAAAGCCATAAAAAATTGGCGGCTACATGACCTAAATTTTGAATTAAAATTCTCCAAAACATCGCAATTGCCTGCTGTTTTATCGATTTTTGATAAAATTCATCCAAATTTTGACAAAATAACCAATCAAATTGGAGAGAAATATTTTCTTTGTGGGAAAAAACTACTCAACATGGAGTTTGAGCAGAAGCCTAGAGGAAAAGAGAGAGAAAAAGAAGTCAGCGCAATTCTTCATAAAATTTGGCCAAAATTACTTAAAAAGCTCATCCCAGATTTCAGAGCAAGTAAAAAAGTCAAGCTCTAGTTCAAGAATCAAGATCAAACAACAAAGAAATCAGAAACAAATCCAAGGATCAAGATCAAACAACAAATAAATCAGAAACAAATCCTGAAAAGAAAAGGGCAAAAACCTCAAGAAAGAAGAGACTAGGAACGTCTATGAGAAACCCAGCCTTACCTCACCAGAACCTGGAGACAAAGACTTGCCAGAACGGCCAGAGTGTCGAGAATTAGACTCGCCGGAATTGGAAAACTCGCCGGAAAATCTCAAGAAAGACTCATCAGAAAATTCAGAGACGGCTACAGCAGAGGCCGAAGCAATTGAAGCCATCAAAGCCCCAATTCTCTTCATTTTGAATCTCTTTCACACAGAGTAAACCCTAATTTGATGAGAGAACGGAAGTTTTACCCTAATTTTCCTGCAAGCTTCAAAACTCGTACACCTCGCATATATAGAGAGAGAATAATTAATATTAATATAATTTTCTTTTGAAATTTGAAATGACAAACTCCGGGACTGGAAGCTGCCACGCTAACTGCTCTTTAATTGACGATATTTCCAAGCTGTTAAGGGCTTGATTCCCACGTTTAGTTCGAGGACACGTGGTTGGTTGTGAATGGTTAGATAGATACATAGTGGGATACGTGTATGGATGAGACTAGGGCGCGTCGTATATGAGGGGCTATTGCCTGTCTTTATGGTAAATGACGGAATTGTGCGTCATTTTGGTTCCATAATGGTTGGCGGGAAAATGACAAGAGTACCCCTATATTTTGTGAAAATAGGTGGACAACTCCTTAATTTGATTTTTAAAAATAAAATACTATAATTGGGAGTTGTCAACTTGTGTATTCTTCAACAAGAAGTAACACGATTATGCTATGTTTGGGTTTTTTTTATAGATTAAAACATGCATTTTTTATACAACAAAATAAATATAAAATTTTTAAAATTTGTTTTGACCGGAACTGACAAGGGTCTAGGTCTCATCCAACCTTAAATTTGTCAAGACAAGTGAGTGAGAGCCGACCAAAATCCGATATGCCCAAACCGAGCCATTTACACCCTGACAATAATAGTCGATCATTATACATGCATGGATGTAGGTTTCAATAATTACTGAAAAGGGTAAAAAAAATAAAAAAACATTTTTTTTATAAATTTGAAAGGTATTTTAGTAAAATTTTATTTGGTAATTTGATGTCTTGCTTTGGTATTTTGTATGTGATGTCACCAGCAAAAAAAAATCTTTATGTGATTGGGTCTTAGTGGTGTCCTATATCATTCCAATGGAAATAACGAATGGAAAACAGACACGTGCTACCTAGCTATTGCCGCATGCACAACCATTGGAGTAAAGGCACAAATCCAATACGTGGCGTTAGTTGGCGTTTGTTCATGGTTTAAGAGCTTTTAATCCACACAAATCGATTCCCAATCAATTCATTCCCCTGATATGTTCAAGGAATAATTTTATATGGGACCGAGGCTCTAAACAATCAAATCAGAGCCCACCTCAAAAACTTCACCAGAAGGAGTTGTTTTGATGCTCAAATATCTTCAAATTGATCATCTTAATATCAAGATGCATGGGCATGAAAAAAAAATTGATTTCAAAATTTAGAAATAGTGCATTTTGTAATGAATTTTTGTACCGTTAATTTTCAAAATTTTCAAGTTTTTATAGATCTACGTGATCTACACTATTTTTTAGTCTTGAAATTTATAATTAGATATGAAAGTATATTTTAAAGCTGTTACAAAGATTCTTAGTATTAAAACCATATTTTTCATACTATTTGAAAGTGTGTTTTAATTTGATTGTTTAGAGCCTCGGCCCTATACAAATCACACCCCTATATTGAATGATGTGGAGAAGCTTCTACGCAGTTTCTATTTTTTCGACTCTAATGGAAGCTTGTACCGCGTACTTTATTCTCAAACTCTAATGAGAGTTTGAGAAGCTTATTAATAAAGGGAAAAGTTTATATAAGGTTGCAACTTTAAAATGTAGAATATCATGTGTGTACCTGAAATATCTATCAAAAATATTGTTTTAATTTTGAAAAGCTCTCTAATTGATCATATCGATATCGAGATGTATGAATATGAAAAAAAAAAAGTGTTTGAATCCTATTAGTAGTGCATCTTGCAACAGATTATCTAGACAGTCCATTTTCAATATTTTTATATATTTATAGATCTAATTGATTTTAACTATTTTTAAAATTTAAATTTTTTTAATTAGATATGAAATAGACTTTAAGATAATCCTAAGATTTTCTTACAGCAAAATTATATGTTATGATAAAATTCGGAGGTGTGCCTCAATTGGATTGTTTAAAGTTACAACCTTATAGAAACCGCACCCATTAATAAAAGCCCATAATATTCGTAAAAAAAAGAAAAGCTGCTGTTTTTTTTTTTATTATTCTTTTTTATGTGAATTTATCAACTTAATGATTGAGAGGCGTATTATTTAACATTTTACAAGTATAGTTTGATTTAATTCCAAAATACCTAAAAAAACACACACGGCAATGAGTTGAAATACTTGCAAAGCTTTTACTATTCTCTACCACCCCTCACCTACTAATAAAGCCCCAATCAACACAGCTATGCTACCAAGCTTTTCTTGCTGCCCTTATGGGCGTCTTGTCAGTCTGGAGCGGGTTGGTGTGTTGTCCCAACCCGGGTTCAAGAGGTTATTGATGAACAAATGGTTATTAACTTATTACTGAGGGTTATGAGCAGAGGTTGGATTGGGTCGAGGTCTAAGAGTTTGCTGCCTGAGGAAGCCACTTTGCAGGTCTCAAGTGGTTCTTTGGTTTGTAGGCGATATAAGGGACTGTCAAGATAGAGGGATATACGTGTTTTGTTAGTCTAAGTTGGTCTTTTTTTTTATGCACAGATCTCTCTATTTCTTCCTCTTTTTTACTATTGTAATTTGGAGTTTGGCTCTCTCTTTTAATGAAAGTAACTATTAACATTAAAACAAAAAGAAAAAGAAAGAAAATAAAGAGTTGGACTACTTGCAAACGTGTAAAATATTAAAAGAAAAAATTTATATAAAGCTAAAGTTCTAAACGATCAAATTTGAACGCACTTCAAAATTTTCATTAAAAGAGGTTGATTTGATGCCCAAATATCTTCAAATTGAAAATCTCGATATCAAGATGCATGAACATGAGCTTGGCTCTCTCTTTTTTTTGTTTTGCGTACTAGAGAAGCTTTCTCTCTAACAAAGAAGAGTGAGCATGAAAGAGAGACCTATGTGATCTTTTGTCAGGGAAATACTTTTTTTTTTTTAAATAATAATCACCCCTTATAATTTTGGCAACAAGAGCACTCACATATGGTCTTATTATAAACAATAAAAATTTCAAAAATAAATAACACATCAATAAAATAAATCTCAACTACTTGAAGCCATAAATGCAACCTAATACTATGTTTGAGAATATAAAATAAAAGAATTAACAAATAAAAGAAAAGATGCTGGAGATTACTTCAACCGGGCTTTTTATACCCCACACCGAGTCACCACATCCAATGGCGCGGGATCAGCGGTTTAGCTTCAATCTCGAACCGAAAAAGCTAATTTCAGCCAAACTAGGTAACCACCCTTAAATCTCTACGAAACCCTAATTCCATAATAATTAGGCTCAAACCATAATTTTCCCAACCCTTAGATTAGATCATGAGAGAGAGAGTCTATGTATCATGAGAGAGAGAGTCTATGTTGGGGCATGCCCCCTAGGATCTTTTTAGGAAAAAGAGAGTAGAAAGAGAGGGGGTGGCCCCTAGGGAAGAGATATAGAGAGTTTATGGGAGAGAGAGGTGTTTTGAGATGGGGGAGAGCATCCCTATTTATAGTGAAATTTAGGTCTAAGGTTTATTTAGGGTTTCCCATAGTTTATCTTTTTTTTTATATTGAATATAGACCGTTGATCAATGTGACTTGTGGGGTAAGAGATCTGAGTCTTCCATTCCATAGATGGGCCATCAATATTATAGAAGGTGCATGAACCATTATGCTCCTTTCTTTAAACCATTTTCCCATCAATATATTTAAATAAAATAAATATTATGTATTCCATAAAATTGCATGATCCATCTCACATATTCCATAAGAATATATCAACAAAAATCAAGTAAATAAATACTACCAAATGTGAACAAGATAAGGTCAAGATTTACTATCTATTTAAATTGATCATATCCATTTAAAACAAACTTGCCAAAATACAAAATAAGTCATAGTCATTATTTCCTTTCCAAGATATGACATAAGATATTATTTCCAAATTTAAACAACTTACAACCAAAATCAACAAAGACTATCCAAGAGGGTGGGGCGTGCCACCCCTATGTGGCACGTGTGAGCCCCAACCCACATGCCACATAGTGGGCTCATGTGTACTATGGGCCCCTATGGAATTTTTATAAAAATATATATTATTTTAAAATTGAATAAAACAATTTAAAATATATATTCGAATTTTCATAACTTTGTAAGAATAATAACTGTATTTTTATAGGTCCAAAAATTGAGTGATTCATAAAAATTCAAATAATAAAACTAAAACCATTTCAATAATAAAATGAACACAATTAAATTAATATGATGGAAAAATGATCCATATGGTTTTAGGAATTCAATCTGTAATAATGGGGTACTCCACCTTCAACTATGTACTACAGACCACACTAGCTTTATCGAACCGACCTAGTGTTTCCCATGATCCATAGTTCAAGCAGGGGCTTATTAGCAGGTCACCAAAGTCAGGTCCATGAATCAAGGGGACACAATCCCAGTCTGTGGATTACAGGTCCTCCCCTAGAGACAAGTCAAGGTCACCACGACTTAATGCGACCACAGCTCTATAGCACATAGAGGTATCTCTCGCACATGCATACCCTTCACCCAAAGGTGGATATCTGGCTTTCTTAAACGATCTATCAATATGCATGCAGCGTGATAAAACATGGATGAAGTTTTGGCCCCCGTTTCAGTAGGCCTACCATCACACACAAGGGTCACACAGTCCCTCGGCTCTCTCATCTAGGCATAAGCTCCGACCTCATCAAAGGCTAACCCAAAACCCTCCTTGGTTAATTATTTATGCCCATGTACCTTGGGTTTTCCAACCGTCTGGCCTAGATCGATAAGCACAGTCCGGTATAAGCAAACATCATTTGCTTAGTATGGTCCTCGAGGGACCACACTCCCACTGAGTTTATATTTCACTATAATAAAAGTATTTCAATACACACTCATAAGGCCACATAAACCCAACAGAGCAACTCTCAAACCAGAAGAGAGAGAAAATCTCGCCACAATAAAAATAAAAATACATTAATGGTTGTGACACAAGCAATCATGGTTGTAACTTCTATATCAAGTTGAATACAAAACCGAATATCAACTCTCAAAATCACCGAAGTTGAATCGGGAGGTGGCTAATTCTGCTTCTTTAACTATAGCCTAATGCGACTCGGGAATTGAATGACTCGGATCAGATAAACTAGAT